CGAAATGAACGGAATAGTGTCGAGCAAATTTTTTTTACTCAGGTGTTTTAATATTTATTATAAATTAGAAACACATATTATACATTACGCAATTACGTGTGTGTGCGTTTTGAAACATATCTGTCGGTATATTCTTTCTTTCGCTACACGGGGGATCATCCCGTGTTTCCATTCGATATTCAAATATTTTTCAATTTACAGCATGTGTGTGTTGAATGGTAAACCTCACCTTGCCAGATCTCGGTGTTTTACTTGTGCTTATTTATTTTTTGTGTCATAATTCGCTTTTATGAAACAAATACACCTAAAATGTACCCTTAAAGGACGAATGTTTCGCAAACGTAAAACCTGCATTTATATATCATTATACGCGCGCGTTTTTTTATTTTACGAGAATACAAACACTTCAAAGAGAGTCGCGCAAATATAAAAGAGCTTCATTTATGACGAGTTTATATTTCTCGATAAATTAACAATAAATAATTATCAGAAGAAAAACCGATACGTTTTGTGTGTGGGTTTCGATTTCATTTCCCTGGGAGCTCGACACTGTTCCAGATTGTTGTCTGTGTGGAATTCGAGTCCCCCGAACTCGCGATGAGGCCCGTTCTTCCCGTCCTCATCGAGAAGATCGGGCCTCAAAGCTGAGGAAACGAATGAAAAGGAGAAACGGGAAAGCAAGAGAAAAAATAAAGTACCAAAGGAGATTCTCGCGAAGAGAAGCTCTCGACTCCATGCATACACGGAGGCTGTGGCACTCGATCTTTCTTTACGTAATTTACTCTGTCAGAGAAAGATCATATATATGTATAAATGTATATCCATCTTCGTCCCGTTCTCTCTGTGTCATTCTCTTGTGACTCTTTGTCTTCTGTCTTTCCCCTTATCGCATTTTCAGCACAGCTCTCCGTTCCTCCGTTTCTCTCTTTCTCTTTCATTTCAGATCTTTCGCTCAGTTAATATCTCGTCTCCTCTTCTGTTTTTTCTTTCTCTCTTTCTCTCCGTCCTCCTTTCCCGTTCTCCTCTCTTGTGTCTTTTTTTACTGTGTGTCTCTTCTTCGCTCATCCCGATGTACGAGAGACTTACTACACGAGACTCCTCTGTGGATGTCTATACACACACTCTGTGCTCCGTCTTTACTCTATAACATTACTCTAAGTAACTCCGTTACTTCCGCCCATACGTATGTACATACTCGATGTCATCTACGTTTCTTTATATATATTATACATATATATATATATATATATATACATGCATATATGCAACTCTATGTGTCTCCCTGTATATACCCGCTGACTAAAAGCCGACCGTACCGTGTAAAACTGAAAGAAAAAAAAAAGATAAGAGAAAAAGCGATATGTCCGCTGAGACGAAAGAGAAATGAAAAAGATGAAAATGTGTAAGTTGTCCATGTTGAGCAAGTTTAGCATATATTGGCCCTCCACGCTACTCTCTCCCAACTGGCACGAATTCTAGTTGTACGTTAGCGTTTCTTTCCTCCTTTGCGGCTCGTTTTTTTCTCATCTCTCTGTTTTTTTCTTTTTCTCCATTTTTTTGTCTGTCTCTCCCTCCCTTTTATCTCCCCCTACGTCTGTGGCTGTCTCGTTGTTTATAGCTCATTGATATCAGTTGAATAAATAGATCGTGTTACCAACTTCACTTTCTCTCTCTCTTTCTCTATCTCTCTCTTTCTCTCTCTACATGTACACATAACGCGTACCTATGTGTGGCTCTCTTTCAGTATCTCTTTTTTTTCTCTCTCTCTCTCTCATCTTTTTTTTCCTCTCTGTTTGCCTATTTTTCATTTTGATTGCGAGCGCAGACACACGTACACCAAACTCGTCCTGAGTGATGCACAAATGCCAAACGTCCGAGCGTAATCTCTCTGATATCGTTCGCGATTGCGAACGGGCTGTACATATATATATGTATATACCTAGAAATCAATTTTTCAGCTTTCTATATGCGAGATCTCACGTGGCGCGCTTACAATTGTTTGCGGATGTTGCGATTGACAGATGAAAAAAACTATATAGCGCAATCGATAACTTAATATTTCTCCCTCCTCGATGTGTCATCGCGATTGAGATAAAATGAGCACTCGATAGATCTGTTCGTTTGATTATTTTATCGAACGTATACGTTGAATGCGAGCGTTTTTCATCCGACGAACGAGCGTTCTCGGATCGCGCGCTCGGATGGAAAAGCGGGCGTTTGGTTGTCACACGACATCGCTTTCCCTGGTATAGTATACGAAGATGCGAGATAAACGCGCGTGCGAAGTGCGAATTTAATGAGCCGTGCTTGCTTCTGTATTGATGTAATGCGCGTGCTTCTGTATTATAAAAAAAAAAAGTTTTTCACAAATGAGAGAAGTTGTGGTCGCAAAACGTTTTCGCAATGCTCGACCGGTTGTTGTTATACCGGGGAAATGCGCGCTTCGAAAAAAAAAAAAAAAAAAACAACCGTAAACAACCTGACATGAACGCTTGTCGCGGCTCTTCTTCGGCTTCAAAAGAATCTGTGCACGTGTAATTATGGAGTAGATGATAGTCGATGCAGAAAAAAACCAGTGCTTGACTTGAATGAATAGCGAATGTATGCAATAGTTGTGCGACACTAATTACTGTCTTACCGTTTGATTACGTACAATGTATGTGTCAGTAGTAGTATCTTGTGGTGTATAATAATATTAAAAAAAAAAGTAGATCGATTTTCTCCAAGGAAATACCGGAAGAGACAATCCAAATTATATGATCGTGTAGAAGTTTCTTTGTAATATCCGTTATTTTTTTTTTTTTTTTTTACGTTACTCGTGTTGTTATTTTTAAAAAAAGAACTACGATACGACGATCTTCTATTTCAATATGCATGTAACACAATTGTGTGAAAAAAAAAAAGGTAATATAGCGCGAAGTTGGCGATCGGATTTGCTTTCGCCGTGATTTCTTCCCGGAATCTCATCACCGTCTTCATTAAAATTCATTTTTCACTTTCCATTTCCAAATCAAAATAGAAAGATGATTCTCTTCGTTTTTTTTTTTTTTTTTTTTTTTTTTTTTTTTTTTATTCGCGATAACTTTTCTCTTTAATCGCGCGTGTTAGCAGCAATTGTTTGTGAAAGTGATTTCCGTGCATAATATCTCGGCCGTCGCGATGATTAATTATCTTTTCATGTCGTATTACCCGCTCATTACCCAATTTGATTTATATCGCTCGAGAAGTGCGTTGTAATAAATTATTCATCGTCTCTCTAATAACCTGACGCACGATATGCACAATTTTGCAGAGTCTTGATAAATATTGTTTTACCTTGAGAAAGTTTAGGAGTATCAATATATCGCGTTATTGAGTCTGGAGTTTAATTCTGAGATTAGCATACCATTCCAAGTTTATATATTCATAGAATTATCCCACACGATGTATCAAATTCCGGGAATTCGGTCTTGGAATTAGAATATTAGATTTATATTCGTATTTCAAACTCGCGTATATATATTCTCCATTTCCATATATCTACACACGGGAATAACTGGAGAACTGCGATATCAATCGGTTTTAGCTTTCGCGAATAGAATACCAGCTCAATTACACAAAGTCGTCTTTGACGCAAGAGCGTTTGGCGGATTTTATTTAAAATATAGCAGTGTAATATGTGTGTATATATATTATTTATATTACATGAGAGAGAACATGTAATAAAATATTATTATTTTCAACGTTTCTTCTCTAAATGTAACTTATTGCAGCCGAAGAAGCACGTCGCGACGAATACATATACGTGTTTTTGCTTGCGTAGAAAACAAACTCTGTTTTTTTTTTCTTGTTACAAAATACATATATACGAATATACGTAGCCGCCAACAGCTTACAGTCTGGAAAAACTGTACGTGAAAAGAGAAAGAGTGATAAAATATATGGTTTTTTTGTGCGCGCGCGGTTATATGAGAAACTTAGAAACGTACGCGAGAGAAGACGTACATATATATGTTATACGTAACGAAAAACTGGAATGAGAAGAAGAGAACGCGTGGAGATGGTCGCGGGAACATCGAAGACGAGAAGAGATGAGAAGAAGACTGAGAGGAGAATGTAAAAATCATCGTAACGAAAAAAATTAACGAGAATTAACAAAAGCAAACTGCTTTACGAACGTTTTTCTTGGCTGTATCACACGTTCGCAGGGGTTGTCACTCCTAGGATCAATAGATTTTCTAGGACAACACCCCTGTACATACACCACCGCACACATACAGTAGCTATATTGTATGATCTGCAACACGGAATGAGTCTTGACATAAAAAAAAAAAAAAAAAAAAAAAAGAAATTAAACCTCGAGGACTGCTCTTAGTTTGCCACCTCTTCCCCTTTTCCTAATCTTCTCTTCTTCGTTTTATCTCCTCAACAAAACTCCATCGCCGAAACCGCTTTTGCATGCAAAATTAACTATGCTTTCGGCTCCTCATAATATCCGCGAGTGGATCACGAAGGTTCCGGTTAAAAAAGTCTTCGAAATTCTTCTTCCAGCGGAGAGTTTACAAAGAACACATTTGTTTTCAATGTTATCGTTCTCTCTCCGAGCTGGTTGCTATATTTTAATACGATTCTTCTGAATATATTTAACAAGTGTTGATTATTTTCTCACATTTATACATAATTGATGTATTTTATTGAAATAATGTATTATTTCAGTGTCGATTAATATTGCAAATAATATTTTATTATACATCCTCTCTTTATTTAGTTTAGGTTTTTAAATATTTACCGACTAGACGTATTTTCTCAACATTCTCTCTTACTTTTTCCAATAGCTATTTGACGTAATAACTTTCTCATCGTCGCTGTGTGTCGCGACGCTAAAAATAAATTATTACATTGTGGTTAAATGGAAAAGGGAACATTCGTTATACTCCGCTCGCGGATTCGAGAAAAATTATAATTTTCTGAATTGCGATCCCGCGTCGGAGAGACGTCAAGAGAGTTTTACTGTATTTTAGGAGCAAATAGCTAAGGAAAGGCAGGTGACCGGTCGCATACAGATCCAGGTCGCGTACGAGGCGGAACGTAAAGAACTCGTTGTTTCGGTTTTTATGGCCGACGACTTGTGCGCGCGAGAAGACACCGGATTCGGCACTCTGCCGGAGGCTTTTGCTAAGCTCGTCCTTGCACCGCCGAGGTAAGTCCACGATTCTCGTAAATTCTCGGATTGAAGATCGTAAACGTAGAATTCTCAAGTGTTCTCGGATAATCGGGATTTTTTGGTGTAAACGTACCGTCAACGGCGAATCTGATAAAAAAATTTTTTCAATTTACAATCGCGAATCTGCTTGTTTTATTTATTTACGCTTCTTGACATTCCAAAACGAGGAGAAGTTGATTTAATTAACTCGTGCGGTCTTCGTAGCGGCGACGGAAGTCCGCTCAAAACCATTGTGGCCGAACCGACTCAGAAACCTATTTGGAACGCCACGTTATTCTTTACCGGAGTTGACGGCGAGAGTCTGATGGAACGTGCGATCGAAGTGACTCTCTGGGATTACTGTCCCGATGGCGATAATGTGTTTCTTGGCGAATGCACCGTCGACGTTCAACGAGCGCTTGAAAATGACAGAGCGGTTTGGTAAGTGCGTTCTCCCTCTTCTTAAGAATTAAAAGCGCAGTCTCTGTATCAGACGGAAACAATATCGTTACATAGATGTTCGGTTTATTGATGTCGCGATGCCGCAATTACTCATTATTAACAACAAAGAGAGTACAAAAGTTAGGTTTTGGTAATACTTTTGTTTGTTTACAATTCAGGTATCGACTGGAAGACCCGCGGTGTCTACGAACGGGCAAATCGCCGTACTGCTCGCCACGTGGCTCGTTATCAGCTATGTCTGGGGCGGATATTATCACCCAGAGGTTGCTGAGAAAGGAGCTGCGTGACCGCAGTTACAGCGATGACACGCAGAGCGACAGCGGGAGTCCGGAATTTTGTTTTCTGCATCCGGATCACGCGTGGATCACTTCTAGACGCGGTTCGAGCCAATCCGAGCAACTCGAGGTTGAGCCGTACGAGCTCAACCGGGATTACAGCAGATCCCTGCCCGGTAGTCGCAGGAGTAGCTTCCAAAGTCAGGGTGGCACTGATAGCAAACGTGAGTGTGTCGCGGACGGTGATTCGTTATGGGTCATTTTCTGGTCTCGAGTTAAGTCGTCCGCGAAACAGCACAATCGCGCGTTAGTAAGAGAATCTCTTTGGGAGTAATCACCGATGGTATTTTCCGTTCGAGAATACAATTAAGAGATGAGGTTTAATTGCAAAAGTGTCCGATATCGAGTCAAGTACGATTGAAATTTCACAGTTCAAGCTAAAACGGAAGTGGCCTTTAAGACTTCGGAAATTTTTAAGAACCTCTTATCGGAACTTTTGATGTCGTACGCGCGAATATATACTCTCGACCCAATAAGTTCTTCTCGCCCACAAGTCGATTCTCTCTCATCCTCGAGCCAACTCCTCCTCTTTCTTCTGTTTCCTTTCAAAGATGATAACGACACGATAGCTAGCTGCGATGCCGTTGTATAGCCTCGAGTGCTTCTTGAAAGCACTTGGCACGCTTAAGTAACAGCTTCCTTGATCACCGCCTTCGACTCGTGTAAACTACGTTGCGAACGGCAAAAATGGATGTGCCGCGAGAACAGAATCTATAGTTATCGTTGCCAACACACTTCTTTCTTGATAAAAAACCGCGAAACGCGTGATAATATCGATTTAATTATCGCACCGACAAACGTAAATATTTTTGCATCAATTTTCGATCAAGTGTAAACTTATAAAGTGAAATGTGACTTTTGACGACACTTTCTAAGATACATAATTTTTACAATAACTTTTTTTTTTTTCTTAAATCGGTTCTTAAATTCGCCGTAGGCGGAAGCATGGGCGAAGCTGATATGCCCATAGTGTACTACAATCGCGATCGACGGCGAAGCTCCTTCACTAGACCGATGAGAGATCCCGAGGAGATCCTGGAGGGTCTGCGATCTCTGAAAGCGGTCAAGGGCGAGCTCAACAGAACCATGAGCCTCACCAGCGACAAGAGACGCACTAGCCGTGAGTATAAACGTTACTTTGCTTCTCTTGGCCATCATTTCGCTCGTTCGTTCCGTCCGTCGTCCGTCTCTGTTTGTCTGTCTTTGTATCTCTCTCTCTCTCTCTCTCTCCATTCGCTCGTCACATATCCACGATCATTTTTTACTGCATTATGTGACACGAACTTTTTCTATTTCTCTTTCTCTTCTTTGTCACTGTTACTGTTATTTAACGCCTTGTCGGCCATCAACGTCTGATATTGAAACCTCATTAACGAACGTTCTCGTCATATCATACATCGTGCATCTAAATGTATGTAAGTGTGCGAGTGCGTGTGTGTGCATTTTGTTGAATATAACCGAGTTTTGCATCGTCTCTCACATTTGTGACCATCGTCCGATCACATTTGTTGTGTGTGCGAGTCATTTGCCTGTTTCTTTTTTCTCTCTCTCTGATGCATCTTTTTTCTTCTTCCTGTTTTTTATTTTTTTTATTTTTGATTTTTAGAAAGCAGTACAATTTTGTGTGCAGAAAACTGAATTTTAACAATCTGTTTGTTTTTACGGTCTTCTTTTTAATACACAATTATTTTTATTAATTAAATTAATTGATTGAGTAGAACATAAAGAACATTTATTATTAATTAAATGACAATTATCTAAAATTTTTTATTATTACTTATACAAAACCCAATTTTTTTTGAGCACATATTTGTTGTTTTGCAATTTTTGAAAAATTATTATCACACAAATTAATCGAAAATGTCTCGCACTTCTTTTTGCTCTTCTAGTTTCTATTTTTATTTTGCGATCAGTCTTTTGACAACATTTATATCGTCTATATGTTTGTTCACATCGTACAATCACATTTTGTGAAAAGTTAAAACTTCTTTTTCTAATTTTTTCCACATTCTTGTTTTCGGATGTCGATGCAATTACTGTTGTGTGTCTCGCACTATCACGTCCTGTCGATCCCGCGCGCGGTTTGACCGAGCGAACGTTTTTTTTCTTTTTTTTTTTTTTTTTTGACATGAACAGGAGAATATTTCTCTTGTTCGTGCGATAAGATGCATTTTTGTCAGTTTACGATATCTTTAATCGAACGGATCAAAGAAAACAGCCCGACCAGGAAAGGACCTCAATAAGACTTCGAAAGTACTAATCGAAACGGATTGATCCTGACTTTCTTATCTGACGTCGACCATGACGATGACCGCCTTCGAAGTTATCGCTTCGTCGCTTTGTTTCTCCTCATACATATATATTGTACATACGCTTAATGCTCCCCGTCGATTTGGCATCTGCTTCGTTCCCGAGTTTACGCTGCTAAGATTATCCAGCGTGGCGTTTTCGCTAACAGTAGCCGTTGAATTATTCCCGCTCTGCTGCAGATGTATTGCGAAATCCGATGCCGGAAAAAAAAAAAAATCAAAAGCCGCCGAAACATCTCTCGGTCTCTCTTTCTTGTGCGGATTCATCCCGAAAGCAAATTTTGTCGAAACAATCCATCACGCATCATGCATTCCGTTTTTGGATTTGCGAAATTTTTCAAGCTTCGCTCGTGTCAATCATCCTTCGCTTTTATTTTCATCTCGAGGAGTCATCGTCCCGGTCGACGAAGTTGCTCGAACTGTGACGCGGTCTTACCGAGCACCGTCCATATTCCGCATCTCTCTTTCTCTCTCTGTCTCGCTCTGCTTGCGTGCCACACGGAGAAGTCGATGTCAAATTCATTCTCCATTCCCAGCTAAAAAAAAAAAAAAAAAAAAAAAAAAAAAAACGCGAGAGACGACCCGATCTCACGTCGGTCTGTGTCTCTCTCTCTCTTGCTCATCTGTGTTGCGATCGCTGTTGTTGCGCGCGCGGGTGTTGCCTGTTCTTGCTGACTGCTCGTGCCATCTCACAATTTGACAGCAACGGACCGGAATGTCGATTAATACCTTTTCTCTCGCTCTGTGCTTCGGAGTTTTATACGAAGCGATAAGGAGCCATCGCCAATGTAATTCAGGATCGCGGAAGACGATGTTACGATTCGTGTTCCTGCGCTGTTGCACGCGTGTGTGAACTATATATCGCCGTATACATCCTGCCGCCTTCTCTGTTTTTCTTTCTCTCTCTTTCTCTTTCTCTTTTTCTTTCTCGTTCTCTCTCTCTCTCTCTCTCTCTCTTTTTCTCTCTTTATATTTCTCTCTCTGCTCTTTTGCTGTACAGCCTCTCATCCACTCCACCGAGTTGTTTGCCGCATCGACACCAAGCGTGCCAGAGCTGTCGTTATGACATTGCGCTATATTCGTCAGTTAAGATTATCGTTTTCTTCATCGTTCGAGCTTGATGGTCGCTTCAGCTTCCGGCACGCGCTGAACGTTGAATGTACGAGATAAAATTGCGACGATAACACGCGTTAATAAACAAAATCTTTTCTATGTTAATACATACATAAAGAATTACATTATTAAAGAGCAATTAATATTTAGAACCGATATTAACGCTTTCTGTTGCAGCATATTGAATATAGATTTTTATGTGATCGGTGTGCGTGTATAAATGTTATATTAAAACAAAAATTATAATATTACGTTTTGTTCAGTATCAGAATTTATATAAAATCAAGATTGCGCAACATTAATCTGTGAAACGAAACTGGTTGAATGAGCAAATGCGAGATATATTGTCATCACTACAATGTTTACTGGCATGTGATAATGAGGACTCAGAGAAGATTTTTGCATCACGAGGAAGTAGACCGAGAAAACTGCATGATAAATAGCTGGCTGACGATTTTTTGAAAAATGTACAAAAGCATAATGAGTTTCACATCGCGGCGGGCCAAAGTGCTTCTCACAATTATTCCCGCCTGGAGATTCTCCTTCGCGCAATTTGTGTCCCAAACTTTGTAACTCGTATATATTCCAACGTTCCACGTCGTGTCGTCGTTAAGTCGTGTCGCGTCAAGTACATCCGAAGCGATCATTAAGTATTCCCAACGCATTCAAGAATCGCAATCACACCCACCCCCCCCCCACTTCTGCGCCCCTCTAATCAGTCTCTCGATTCCCTCTTGACATCTGTGTGCATCTTCGTTCGCATAAGCGCAAGGCCTCGCCAGCGCGCGGCGTGCACTTTGAACTTGTCACACACCTGACTGTTATTTGCTGATTGTCTTGATATCCTTTCTCGGTCGGCACCGTCCGATGCCGAAACTCTGAACCAATCTCCGCGCTCGAATCGCGAAACATTCGGTTCGCTCGGTCGAAACGTCATCGGCCATCGTCACAACCCCGATTATCGACGACAAATCGTGGGCCACGTACGCACGATCAACCAACCAACCAACCAACCAACCAACCAACCAACTACCAACCAATCAATCAATCAACCAACCAACCAACCAACCAATCAACCAATCAACCAACCAATCAACCAACCACCATCGACCACCAACAACGACAACAGAGTGCGTAGTCCCAACAGTTACTGTGTGGCAGTGCGAGCCTGTGTCTCCGAGGACCGGTAACTCGGCCTCCTTCCCACTGCCGCACTCCACACCACCTCGATAAATAACCGCAAGGCAATGTCGACCAGCGTTACAGGCGTCCGGTAAGACACACTCTCTTTCTCTGTCGCTCACTGTCTCTATCGCTCTGTCTGTCACTCTCTGTCTATCTGTATATATATATATACCTTGGAGCAGGATTTCGCGCTTCTGATTTCTGCCAGTTTTAGTTCGACCTTTTGTAACCACGCAGCATCGTTACTTATTTCCGCAGTGGTGAGAGGATAGGAAATATGGGTAGGTTTATTGATGCACACAATTCCCGAAGCGCTGATAAATTTGTACACCCTCAGTAGCAGAGCAGCAGTATATTTTTTATTTTATGGTTCTTCTTTAAGAGAAATTTTTTTTTTTTTTTTTTATGTAATGCGAGAGCTTTGTAATGGAAAAGAGACATGTGAAATTTATTTTGTACCGCCAGTATAATAAGTTTGATAACCGTTTTGCAATCAACTCGTTTATCTTACGCGTATATATGAAGATTCCACCCTCTCTCCCTCTCAGTTTCCTTTTGCACTTTTTTTCTTATTTATGCTTATCTCTATTTTCTCTCTTTTTCTAAAATTCTTAGCGATCGATGACGTAGGACAAGGTACTTCGCGTAGAACTCGAGAACGTATTAATGTACTTTTGATAGAATAGCGCCATTTCTGATGTCTCTCACGTTTCGCTACTTTTTATTTTTGCAGCTTTTTTTCTCTCTCTCTCTCTCTCTCTTTCTCTCTTTCTCTTTCTCTCTTTGAGCGCACGTGTCGTTAATTTGTCTTTTCTTCGATATACGTTACATTCTATTTTTCAGAGAGACGCACGCAACGTCATTTATCATAAGGCAAGGAGAAGAGATACGTGCTGTTTAACCCTCCGAATATTTTCTTTTATTTTTTTTTGCACACGCGTTTTTTTTCGTGATCCCCATCACGAGATAATTTTTTTACACCGAGATTTATTATACTTCTGTTAGTTTTGCAACTAACTTCTCTCGGATGTGTCATTAATTTTCCGCTCGCGTTAATTCTAATCCCGTTCCACGCCGCCTGCTTCATTTATTAGTCTAGTTAATCTTTCTAAACGCCACGTGTTAACGCGTAATTCCTTGCCATCTTCTAATTAGCTCCCGGGTTTCTTGCGTTTTCCAAAAATTAAACGTGTATATATTTTTTTTCTTGTTTACGAAACATACTCTTTAGTTGCTTTCAAAAACATTAACAATTTTCACAAGCAAGTAATAGACAGATAGATAAAACTTTTTTTTTTTCAAATTTATGATAGCGAGAGTACGTATTTCACTTAAACGATACGTTTGGGAAATAGTGCAAAATTTCTGTAGTCTGCAGACAGGTGAGTAGCAGAGAAAGTACCTTATCCACGTCCTGCTCCTTGATCGTAAAGCCTTCATAATTTTCCTTTGGCTTCTCTTTTCCGAATTGTTTCTTACGATTGGAGCAAGTAATGCTACGAGATAAGAAATCGCTTTGTATGCACTATTAGAACTCGTAGATAATGTGTGAACGTGTTAGTCACTCTTGCTGCTACCACTACCTGTTGTAACACTATCTACAGTTGTAACATTATAGGTAAGAAAGATCGAATGTTTAAGTAGTCGTTTTATCGCACGAATTCTTTTTGAGCATCTCTGACGAGTAGCAGTTCATTAGTTATGGTTGACCCCGTTTAATAAAACCTATCTCTGTAAATTATATCTAATTGTTTTTCGTTTTTTTTTTTTTCTGAATTTTAATCCCTGTTTTTTCGTACTGTTTTTTATCTGTTCATTTATCTGTTAGAAACGCCGAGGAGAAATCAATAAAAAAAAAGGTTAATTTGATATATATATATGTATATATTATATATATAGATAATTATATATGTAGATAAATCTATTATAGTATAATAAATATTAGAATATAATAATAATAATATTTTGAGAAAAAATATTACATATGTTATAGTGTTAGAATTTGTTCTGCACACTATGGTGATGAGAAGAAATGCAAACGTAAGAATTCAAACAAATATTTCGGTTTTAGCGGAATATGTTAACAGTAGAAATATAAGGATGAACTCTCTATCAGCTCGTCGAGCTTCTAATTATCTTATTACACAGCTATCGAGACCGCGAACTTTCCTCTTCGTAGAGTTGAAACTTCCTGCTATCGCTGGTACTTTAGGAACTAAAGTTTGTATCTTACTTCTCTATGTAGAGAGAACGCGTTTGGAACTTATTACGTACATCTAATTCAGGAACCTTCGGTCGTTGAATTTCACGATTCGGTTGGCAATGCCGTTGGGTGCGTCAGTTAAATTATTCGCACATAGAAATGCCGTTTATTATAGAGTCTCGTATTAAGTACATTGGTATTATAAACAATTTACAATCTCCTATTACACATAACAATCCTCTCTTATTGTTGTGTAATATCATTGTGTTAATATGCGCGACGCTTTGAAATTTATTCAGAATTTTCGCAAATTTCCGTTTGAGAAACAACTCGACTCGATTAATATACGATCGTCGCTTTTACGTGAAAGTATAAAAAAACGCTCAAATTTTACGAAAAAAAATTAAAAAAAAAAATTCGCGATGTTGAAACATTATTTGCGTACGTTGTTAATGTTATATATTGAAATTCATACGATCGAAGGTGCTTTGCAGCTGTTGTATATTGTCCAGTAGGAAGCTTTTTTTGAAAAATCTGTCGCAAAACTGAGTTTGGAACAACAACAGCTCGTAGAATTAATTCTGATTGGCAGACGTAAATTGTTTTCCTCAAGAAACAACTTAGCTGCAATCTGTGTGAACGTGCAATTGTGAAGGAATTTATGTCAGTAGAAATGTCACTGTGCAAAGTACATTGTTCAATGAATAAATCATGTTTATGGACAACTCGATAAATTGTATTTTTTCTTTGGCAAGATTCTTTTGTGCGACATGACGCAGATTGCAGTCCGACCGATGATCAATCGCGTGAGAAAGATACTTTTCAACTCGTAGGGCGGGGTGAGCGCAAAGACAGCGTTATGGAGATTCCTGAGAGATTTTACGAGCGAAACAGCGAATCCGACGAAGAAGAAAAGTACAGGTACGCGATTTATCTTTTTTATGACAAGAGAGTTGAAACGAATCAATCACTATATTCCATTCACATTTCTGTGATGTTTAGAACCGTATCATCGGTTTTGCGTCGTCGCATTGTTCCATATCTTCCGTTTTTTAATTTCATCGTGCGCTTGATGAAAAAATTAATATCATCCTATATTAATATTTTCATTCTATATATTAACTACAACACTGGATTTACGTGGCGCGACTTCGATTTTTGCAGTCAGTCGACGAGAAATGAAAATGGCGTCGATCTGAAACTGGGACGTGGACAAATATTACCGAAAGGATACAAAATAATGAGTGGTAAAATATCCGCTTTAAATTTTATAAATTTTTTGACGTTAAATTAGTTTCTTTCTTCGAGAAAGAAAAATTGTTTTTAAACATTTCGATTATCGTAATTTTTCTTAATTGTTCAATTGTGTTGTTTGATTTACTTATTTTTAATAATAAGTTAAAAACCGTAAAAAGTAGATATGTTAATTAATTTTAACTTGATTTATTTTATTTACTTACTAAATTTACTTATAAAAGTAAAAACATTTATTTTCATAAATATATATATCGATTCTTAATTTTAAGTAGACTTTTTGTGGCGAGCGTTGTTTGAAATGAGACCAGTTTTATTGCAATCACGTATATATTACAGGCGCGCAGAATGGCGAGGTGCAGCTGGGCTTTTACCTCTGCAAGGGTGCTCTCGAGGTCGAGGTTATCTGTGCCAGGGATATTTGTCCAGAGGAGAAAGAAGAGCCAGGTAATTTGAAAAGCGTGCTTTTTTCCTTGTTACTGCTAATTCTCTCGTTTGAGTTAACTCGCTCCTGTTTACAGCCACCCGTAAAATTTCTCTAACTAACGTATTCTCTATCTTTGAGATCCTTCTATTTTCAGCGCGAAGAAGCTTCATTCCGTAGCTTTTACCGCGTGCGATGTTCGCGTTAGCGTCATTTTTATACTCGGCATCAAATATCAGATTTTAATAACTATCGCGAGTTTTGCAAACTCGTACACGACTTTTTTGTTCGGACTGATTTATTTTATCCTCACACTTTGGTTGTATCAACAAGTTTCAGAGTTACATACTCCGTATGTACTACCACTTGTGATACGTGTGAGCAACGAAGAACAGACGACACACTTCCAATCGGTTACTATGTCATACATAAGTCGTACATCATATACCGGCACATCTAGGAAGTCGAGTCTCGTACTCTGCGGGTGTATTATAGACGTTTATAGTTTCGTCTTGTTTATTCATGCGTTACTTTAGCGTTTAGCAACAAATTTCCGCGCAAGCGTTCACGCGCCGGTTAATCACGACGACCTAAATTCGAACTTATCATCAAGAGGAGCGCGGCGAGAGGACAAACTCAAAATATATTACTTGCAAGTATTTTGAAAAATAATACAACAAATTTCGTATTGATTAAAAATTAATATAGAAAAAGAATTTTACATAAAAATAAATCATTATAATTTAAAAAAAGAACACGAAAACATTTTATTTTACGCAAGAAAAAAGACTATCGGAGTTTTCCGCTCTCGACGGAGAGTATTTATCAGGAGTGACTCTTTCGAGTACAGAGAGAGAAAGACGAGACCTTCTTTTTGTATCTTCTTCGCAGATACTTATGTGAAGACTTATTTGCGTGAACGCGACGGTGACAAGTGGCTGCAGAAGCGGAAGACCCGCGTGGTGCGACATTCGAAGAATCCGCAGTACCGGCAGACGCTAAAATACAGTCGCTGCGATACCGTGCAGGGTCGACATCTGCTGGTGATGCTGTGGAAAAAGAAGCAGGGCTTCGAGAGCAACCAAGGGCTCGGCGGCGCCGAGGTGAACCTCGACTTGTTGCCATCAAAAGAGTTTATCTTCGACTGGTATCCGCTCTTCCCGATCCACACCCTCGGCACGCAAAACGCGGACTCACCATGATGGTTAAGGGAAAAATGGGCTCTCGAAGCCGGCGAGCTAGACCTCAGATTGAGCCTTTTGCTCAAGGACGAGGACCAGCCCGCCGTCAAGATCATCTCTTGATTGAAATCGTGGCTGATCACGCGGCAGTGCTGGCTGGCTCGAAACCGGCGCGATCTCGATCATCTCGAGACAGTGGCGTTCTTCGTTATCGCAAGTCTTTGAGCACGCGTGTCGTTCCCGGGAAAAACAACTATAGCTCGCGTCGATAAAGCATCGATCTTTCCGCGTTGCTGCATTTTTCTAACTGCAACTGTGATTGTCTAGATAGAGAGAGAACATTTTGTCTTGCTCGCGCGATAGTAATTTATTGCGTTAGTTTATAACAAAAAAAATTCTATATATATATATATATTTATCTTTCTTTAAAAAAAATAAAATATATAAATACACAAATTTTTCAGAAAATAATCTGTAAGAAATGTTATTTGTTGCAATAGAGATAAAAAAGAGTATACGTGAAATAACAGAATCAATCAGCAACGCGAATTGATCCCATGTCCCGTTGCAACAAGTTTTACTTACGAAACAATCGATTATCACGTGTAGCGTAACAAAACCGGAAGACAATCAATTTCAGATGGTTTTATCGCATATAATTGTTCACAAGAAGACAATCAATCTTACAAATTGTGAAAAAAAAAAAAACGTAATTTATCTCGGTTTGTGGAACGATAACGTGGGCGTTCAGTCAGGATATTCAATATATATCGAGCGGATAAATAAAAAAAAGACGATGATAAAGAAGAACGCACAAGCAGATCCCAGAGAACGGAGTTCCTTTGATTAGCGCCTTTCGAGATCCGTGAATGTCTTTTGTTGACATTAGCGGTGATTCTAGCAATAAAGGTGTACCTGCGCATGTTTGCACGAACACAGTAAAGAAAAAGAAAGAGAAGAAAGAAGAAGAGATTATTTTTTTGGGAAATAAATACAGCAGAGCCATATATGTATACATATATATTCCGATGAGATGACGAGGGTCCATTTTTCCTGATACAAGAATAATATATATATATACATATGTATATATATATATATATATTGTCAAAATGTGAAACGAAACTCGATCGACATCTGCCGCTGATTGGCGGTTCATCTGGTTGACCCAGTTCAGTGATTCGATCGAATTTCGAACACGTCAAATAATAACGATTAACTCAAAAGACCGATCAGCGGAGAAGCCTGCTTGGTCCTTTCATGTCGACGCGAGGCGACTTCAGAAATTTCCCGTTGTTTTTTTTTTTTTTTTTTTTACTTCTCTTTAGAGCAAATATTTGATTAAAAACGCAGAAGTTTGCACTTGAAATGATAAATTTCAAGTGAACATGTGTGTAAACACTGTTTCTTTGTATACAAATATTACATGACCTGTGTTAGTCGTGTGTTCAGTCGTAAAATTCAACTGTGTGAACTGTGTAATCGCAAGATAATCGCAAATATTAACATAACAAACCAGTACCAGTAGTTTAGTATAGTAGTGTCACAACGAGTAGATGAATTTTAAATTGCAACAAACACCAATACGCGTTTCAAAGAAACAATGACAACGGGAAGATGAGAATCTGAACGCCTCGATTGGCGTTAACCTAATTTAACTATTTAACGGTAGACAATCGTTCCAAGACTCGCTGGTCGAGTCGTGTGAAAGAAAAAAACAAAAAGAAAAAAAAAATCAGCAATCGCAGCTTGAGGTGGTGGCGAGACGAGCGGACGAGTGTGTTTCGGAGATAGCCCTTCGCGGCTAACTTGAATAATACCCCAAAACAACCAAGTAACTCGGTGTTTAGAAGTTGCACAATTTTTGTAGCTCGTAGACTGAATTAGAGCGGGACGAACTGGCAGATTTCTTCGACGTTTCTCAGATCTAATATATCGACGTCCTATTTCGCGCAGTCTCGCGAGAATCATCATAACGTCACGAAGCGATACGTCGCGTGCGATTTAATCGCGAGCGAATCGATCGCGAAAAGAATCGAGAGAAAGAAAATTATCTACCACGACGAAAAAAAAAAAAAAAAACTCGAACGATCGAGCTTACGCGCTTCGGGACGATTTACGGTGATCCTCGGGACGCGTTAAAATAACGTGAGTGTTTAAATCCCCCACGATGTGTCCCGCGACGGGGTTTCACCGACAGAATAAATTGTCCAGAATTTACTGCGCTTACCCCGCCCGAATAATTAGAATAGGTAAATGAACGTGATAATACTAAAGTTACATAACGATCCAATAGCATCTTCATCAGGATGTATTCGTGAATCACGTAAATAATATATATACATATATATAAAAAAAAGATAATATTAAAGAGATCACAGATTTATTATCAAAATCGAGTGTGGTGCGTGCGCAAAATTGCGGAGAGACACACGCGGCGATACCCTAAGTGATGTGATGTTTGTGTATAACGTGTAAAACATATAGTATTGGTATTGACCTGGAAAATATGGCATGTATATGCTATATACATATACATATAATATATATATATGCTATATATATATATACAAATATGTTACTACATCGTTTGAGAAAGAAAATTGTATAATGGAAGGCTAATCAAAATGTACATGTATTTTAAACGATACGTAACGATAAATATGCCACTGTCTCATATTATTAAAACTCAGTGTTAACAATGTAGATGTTTAAGGGATGTCAACGAAAGTTCAAACGAAGATTTATTTTCGCAGATCAATGTTGAAAAACGAAAAAAAAAAAAAAAAAATACGTGTGCAATTTCTCTCACTTACAAGTTGTATTGTTAATTGCGTTTCGACGTACGTACGTGTGCGTCCGTTGATTATGGTTGCGTTCCGCAAAGCGCGTTCATTTATCGCGCATTCAAAATCCATCTCTCTGTAGTACACGTACGTACGTGCGTAAAGTGGAACTATAGATAAAAACGCGCGCACATGCGCTTTGCGGAATTCCGCAGTCCGGAATCGAACATCCGAATCTGGAAAAACTTTTTTGGAAAGCTCTGACTATAGTCTCTCTTACGAAAATAAAAATTATTATTTAATCGTTTTATTGGATCTGCGACGATTCTCGAGAGTTTGCATCTTGCAAACGAACACTTGGGAATTTCTTTACTTTGTGAAACTATACATAGGTTTTCAATTACGATCGAGAAAAAACGTGCAGGCGCGAGCGCTTCGATGAAAGTAATTTTATACGTAAGGCACAGAACGAGGAAGTAGTATCGGTCTGAGAAAAAAAAGGTAAAACAAAAAAAGAAACACTTTAATTACGGTTGTGCTGTTCATACACTTTCTGTATCGATGTAAAATCGCTTCATCGATCTCTCGCCTCGAAAAAAAAACGTCAGCGACACTAGCTGCGAGAGTCACATAAACGAGACGGTTGTGCCTTTGCGAGAGAAAGAGTTAGGATCACATATCGTGAAAAAAATCAACAGTAATTCACGAGAACAAAGTATATGATATAAATCGGCCTAAAAAAAAAAAAAAAAAAACTATATCCGACATTAAAATTACTGTTGTTGGACAATTCGTGTGAATTTGATCTTTGTTATTGCGAAATATTATCTGTAGACGCTGTCTCGTGCGACCACGTCTTTATTCTTTTTCATTTCGTTACCGCTGTGTATGCTTCTAATTGTTTTTTTGCAATACTGCTGATATTTTGACAAAACATTGAAACTTGTAACGACTCTTTTTAAATGTACCGATAACGAAACGTCCTTGAGTATCTTCAATTGTTTTTTTTTCACAACTCGACGAATTAGATAAACGATACTTAAAATAATGAGAAGGGAAGAAAGTTCAAAATAAATGTTTAAATAAGCGACGTAAAAAACAGAAAGTACAAGCGCGAACAAATTAAAAAACAGATATATATCACATTTGCGGTAAAGGTAAAGAGAATCGGCGAGAAACTTTGGACGGAGGGGTCAAAGAAAATTTAGTTATGAACAATTTTTTGCATTTCGTCGAAAGTTTTTCTCGAGAATTACATCGCATGGACAATCTTCTCGTACGAATGCAATCATCACTGTTTTTTTTGTTTTTTTTTTTTTTAGAAGGAAAAAATCTCTTCTCTGTAAGTTAGATAGCTGAGCGCGTTCTAAGCACGTTTTCTACTAGCCTTCGAAAAGTGACTTAATAACTACTATTGTACTACTACGATCGTTATTGATGTGTGTGCCGTTAGAGTACCTACATATTGTTACCATTATCGCTCCGCTGCTTCTTCTCTTCTGATTATTAAATAATAATAACTCCAGCACCTTGTATAAGTCTCAAGACGAGAAACTTGTTTTTGTTTTGTAACAGCACTACAATTTTAAACACAATATCAGTAATGCGTATTATTGATTGCATTACAAATTGATCTTTTGATGACTATAAATCATTTTACCGGCAGAGTGAATCAAATCTATAATATTCTCTTCTTGTACTTTAAACACACTCTCTTTTTATAAAAAGTTATTACACGCACTGATATACCGAAATAATTAATTAATTGCAATCGCATCTACAGTGTTTGGGTTATGGTTTTGTATATTTTTATGTTTTTTTTCGTTAATCTTCTTGTTTAATTTATATCATTAAAATATTCTTAAAGAAAAGCGAGGAGAAATTCAATTTTTCGCGTGTATTTGCGTGCCACACTTCCCGTCTTTCTTCCACGTCTTCAAAAGTTTTTTAGAAATCTTCGACGAAGCTCGAGCTTACAGTAAAATCTAGACGTACGTCAGTCGCTTAAGTAGAATGAGAAAACAACTACGATTTTTCTACGACAGAGAACGCTAACACTTTAATGTAGAGCACGATTCGAGAGTATCTCACTAATGTCTACGTTTTATTTATTACAAATACAAATATGATACACTCACTCACAGGTACATGAAATAAACGAACACGTTCTGAGATAAGCAGATAAATAATCAAACACACATATACACACATACAGAAATATATATATATATATATATATACACACACACACGCGCGCAAATGCGTAGCATTAATCTTGACAATCGAAACTGTTGATTAAAACTTGCACTACGAATCTTTAGAAGATAATATGGCGTATTTGTAATTCTTACTATTACGAGCAGTCTGTAAAGTATTCTTAGAGAGAGACACCGCGAATTATATATACATATATATAATTGTACACGTTCAATGTATTGTATACATTATCAGTCGCCCGACCAGTCGCGGGTCAGAAACATTCTTTAGAAAAATTAACATTAGATGACTTACTGATTAGTCGAAGGAAAGTAGATTTCTCTCTTTATTCTCGAGATGAATGTTAGTTGCGACTGGACGTTGCGAGAGAACGTTTATTGATTAAGAGTTATAATA